ATCAAAAACTTTGGGATACCTTGGGATACTTGCACTCCTCAACTTGAGGAAGGGCCGCTCCACCAGAGGGTAAGGCCCAGGGTTTGGAGGTCCTGACCTTCACACGCGCTTGCCTGCAAACTGTCCCAGAGCATGTTTGTCCTAGTTTATTGAAGCCAACAGGACAACATCGTCCTGCAGATATGGAATCCTCTGGTCCCAAAACTGGACTCTGGCTCCTGAATATGCCAAGAGAATTTCTCCACCAAACCAGCGAACAGAGCCAATTCAATTGAATGTATTCTTGTATAGCCCTATATCAGACCAGTACTTAACAAAACTATTGAAATCGCCAACACAGATCAGAGAATCAAACAGTTCAAACACAAAAAATACAGAACACATAGGTTAGGTCTCCGTAAGGGGAATGGACCAATGTCCATGAATATTGCAGAATGTTAGAGTGTGAACCAGTGGCATAGGGCAAACTCTCACGATCCATTGAATATAAAGGAGTGGCGCTGGGCAATGATAACACACAAAGATGGCAAAGATGAACTCACTCGTCTGTAGTTTGAGGAGAGCCTCTGTCCCACAGGATGACTCTTTTAAGCCGAGGTTTTTAGGCTCACAGCTCAGCTACAGACATTCTCTTCTAGTTTGGATTCAAAACTTACCAATAAAAGTGGAGAAGACTGCGGAACCAATCATTGAGATCAAGGAGCAATAAATGACAAGATGGAGCCAGCCTCGCAAAGTCTGGCTCCTGTACTGTACGACATAATTGTGGATTAGGAGAAACCCACTTTGCTGGCTCCAGTGTGTTTAGATTTGTCAGAATATGCAACAAAACCCTAGCTACACTGCTTGCAGGTAACCAAGTCCAGGCCCACCAAAAACAGACATTCGACTAAAACTGCTACATTTCCTCTCAGTTTCCTCTACCTAAAATCAATTATTAAGATGTACATCATTGTGTTTCTCAATTCGATCTCCCGGAACATCTTCTTCCATTGTTATGTGTACTGCAGGTGTCGCCATTCTTCTGTGTTCGTCCGGAGTCGCCCTGCCGCTGGAATTTATGAATATTGAGCAAACGTGATGTCATTCGTGACCAATGCTATTCTCATCCAGGCCATTTTTAGCCCCCTGCATTTGTAGCTTTAAGCATAGTCACAAAAATAAAAGCTGTCACAACTTCCTCTTTGTTCTGCACTGTTTGTCTCGGTGCATTTTTCTCATTGTCAAACGGCACAGCTGCTGCACCCTCAGGCTTCACTGTGCCGCAGACTTCATCCCCTCCTGATATCAGTCCTGCACACAAAGCCCTGAGAGCGAGACACAAGACTTGGCATCATTGAGCCTCCGTTATGGATGCTGGTGTATGCACTGGATATGGGGCTTTCACAGCACCCAGCACTTCTATTTAAAGTGCATATTTATTATTCTCTTTTTTGGAATTTATTTGGTGTTATAGCCTGTTGAAATCAGGAATCAGTTTGTGAAGTTGAAAAAAATCCATGCTGAAAATTACAGGTAGTAAAAATACTGTCGCCCTGTCCCGACCATTGACTGATGAATACTGAAGAAGCCTGAACATAAGATAGCTGGAGCCAATTTCCTTATATGGGCATTTCTTCCACGGCGTTAGCTTTGTGTGGCTGAACCATTAAACACCTTCTTCACTCGTTTTGACGCTACACTCGCTACCTCCTCAGACTCCTCTACCCTCACCCTGAAACAGCTCAAAAGGATGTCTCAGGACTCTTGACTTGACTCCCATCTTCACAGACATTTTTAACACCTCTCTGGAGTCGGGCCGTGTCCCATCCGGCTTCAAGTCCTCCATCATTGTTCCTGTGTGGAGAAGAATGTCTTTGATACTTTATTTACACATACAGGAGCTCCACAGGGTTGTGTTCTTCTCCCTGTACACCGCCCACTGCACTGCTGTGAAGCTGATCGAGAACTGTGGACGAGACCACCCTTATTGAACTCATCTCTGACAAGAATGGGTCTGCTTACAGGAGGGAGGTGGAGCTGGAACTGATCTTCCAGAAGACAGTGGAGATGAATGTGGACTTCAGGATCACTAGATCTCGGCCAATTTCCATCGTCATTTTCTGCCACTTTATAATGTCAAATCTCTGAGCACATATTGATAAACTGCACCATTAAATGCAATAAGCAAAGTCTGCGAAGTAGCTGCTATTTGGTTTCGTTCTTTTACATTTTACCTTTTTTTCTAACCACTTGAACTCACGACTGCTGAAGTGCGATTGTGGAGTTGTTTGTTGTAGGTCTGAGCGATGATGCAGCTGTCAAAAGCCATGCAAACACGGTAAAATACAGCTGCAGAGGACACCGCACTGAGGGGCAGGAGTAGGACTGAGGGCCACGGGACGACCAAGAGTCAGGCGACAGTAGCTCAGTTGGTAGAGCATTGGCCTTTGAGCCAGAAGGTTGTGAGTTCGAGCCCACCTCAAGACTTTCACCATTGACTCCCACTGTCTGCTGTTGTTGTGTCCTTGGCAAGACACTTAACCTCTGGGAATACTGGTTGCCTTCTGTCAGTGTGCCCCAGTAGTAGTTTATCACCACCGTGTATTGAGTCAAGAATAATTACATATAAACCAATATAAAACCGATGCATTATTAGTAGTCCTCTGAACACTTCATCACAAATGTTTTCTTCTGACACCATGAACCATCTTATTATGAGGGACTAGTGTATCTATATATTAGAATTATTAATTGTATTTATTACGATTTTAATGGACGCCTTATATCTGTTCTTTTTTGCACAAAGAAAATTCCTAGTTTGTGACGTCCTGTTGCTCAGAAGGGCAACACAAGAATTCTGTTCAGTCTGTTGCTGCTCTCTAAAAAGGCCTCGAATAAGTTATTTTTTTGGTTTATTTTTTCAGAACAGAATCCACACCTGATCCTGTGTCCTTCCGTTTTTTGTACATGCAGTGCTCAATTCTTATGTGAGTTGCCAAGGACAGCTTTACTTTAGCAACAAACATGCTTAAAATGTAAAGATTTCACACATAGGCGCAAAATGTGTCTTTGCAATTTCTATTCAGATGAGGCCTACTCCTATGTTTTAGGATATATGTATAACATATGTTGTATAGGCACAATATCCACATTGGCTGAAAGCAGAGAATAATACATAATATTATGTTAGATTTTTCTGTCAGCTTGTGCTAGTGTAAGGACCTTTATCACTGCTTACAGATTTAAATATTTAGAATCCATTTTTCATTTTTCAGACTAAAGTTAGACTGAACCTTGGAGTTTGAGTTCATAGATGCGTCACTGTCAGTTTGGACACTTCTGATGGATATGTGAAGTTGATGCTAGTCACACCCTGTCAACTATTGTCATAAGGTCACATTTCAGATATACAAAGAATAATCATGAGCCATGACACTAACAACGGACTATTTGTGGCTTTGGTGGGCTTCTAGTAGCCTGGTCGTACCACACCATAGTACAAAATACATTTCGTACTAAGGTCTGGAGGCGCTCCATTGACACCCTCCCACCGTTAACAGGTGGGAGGGGTTAGCTCTTTTTGCAGATTGAAACGATTGGATCTGAGTTTACCGTGACGGAATTAATGCGCCCGAGTGAGTCGTTGGCATTTAACATGTCAGGGATGAAGCAGACAGACACGGATCGTTAGCCTAGCCATCTCCTTTTTCCGCTAGCGTAGCCCGTGGGGAGTAGCGCCTCAATTTTTCCCGATTACATTTGCTAAACATTCCTCTTGCTCCGGCTTCAATTTCTTGATAGAACCAGACCGGATTACTTTACTATCGCATTTTTCGCCATTACCAAGCTACAACCTGCCCGTTCGACGCAAACTTGACATCACCCACAACTAACTACTACACCCGCCTCCCGCGCTCGCTGATTGGTCGGATGGAATTCAAGCGATTGTAATCGCTAACATAGGGACTAGACCCAGACGTTACATGCAGGAAAATGATGATTGAGCGGAGTGTACGGATGGCTAAGGCCAGGCTAGTGTTCTAGATGAAACTCATAAAATCAGAAGATTGTTAAAAAACGATTTAATTCTTTAATTCAACTTACAATATGACACTAATATATGACAGACTCTCTAGATGCAAAGTGAGATATATCAAGCCTTTATTTGTTATAAATTCAATAATTGGCTCATCAGCTGTGGTGATGGGAGATGTCTGGGAAAAGCAGGTGCCACAGTGGGGCAGGTGCAGCTGAAAGGTTCCAAACCGTTGTCGTTATTAGCAATATTATCATTACTATCATCATCATTATTATCATTTTTATTATTATTAGCTTGTAAATCCCTTCACTGATCCAACTCTCGAGTATAAAGGTAAACCATGAATACCAAACCAATATTATAACAAAACAAGATTGACATATCTCACTGTATTGGGTGTAACTCATATATCGGTTTCATATTTTAAGTTGAATTAAAAATGTTAAATGTTAATTCTGAAGTTTCAACTTCCAATGTGAATTTTCACTTTCGTATTTCATTTGCCTTTGCTATTGGAAAATATTAGAAGTAATTAGACTGTAACCCTTCACCAAGTAGTATTTTCTTTCTATTTCAGTCATGTAAGTTCAACCCCTTATCTTGAGCAAATGATTTCAAAAGCACTGCCAAAAACAAAACATGTTGAAGATTGATGTCAGCAGAATAGATTTTTTGGACAGATTTGACAGATCTGTTTTTGCAAATTTACTCTTCATTTGAAACACAATTGTTGGAATATTATGATTTCTCCATCAACTGGTCTTTCAAATACAGTCAAAATTCATACTCTGTGAATCCATAGTATAGAGGTAGCATGAAAAAACAGTGCGTAGCCTTCGGTTTCGATCACGGACGCAGCTTTGTTCCATGTTTTCTTGTGATGTGAACATGGAATGCCTTTGAATGGACATTTTCAAAAGTTGTCCTTGAGCAGTGAATGCACAAAATGACGCAGGATTCACCGGAAAACGAGCAAGGATCACTGAGCCTTGCACATGGTCTTAAAGTGTTGGTCTTTCACCGACTTCTCATTGCGTTGCTGGTGCGAGTGAGTCACGTTGGCTTTATAAGCATCGGACAGCCCTCCACGCCGGGGTTTGGAGGCCACTCTTCTTTGGAGAGCATCACACAGACACATGATGCAGCGGTCAGCAGTCTCTTCCACGCTCTCCCAGGAGGGTCCCATCGCTCGCCTCACCATCATGAGGTCCTTCTGTCTGCTGCTGCTCTTCCTCCTACTGGTGTCCCACGGATCGTCAGCAGTCATCACAGGGGTAAGTGGAGAGCTTTATAAAGAAAAAGCAAAAAAAGCAAATGGGGTTTACTCACTGCTTGCATAAAAACTGTGTGGGCTCTGAAATGCCATTTAAAAGGACATGTATCCTCCACAGCCTTCATCTTGGATACAGTGGTTTAGGGATGTTTTAGACTTCAGAAAACTGGAAAAGATTAGGAGACACTGAATGGATCTGTTGATAGATTTGAACAGACATGGCAACCGCTGTTTCACTTAGTACCACACTTGGATTTCTCTTCAGTCACAGATCGATTCCTTGACTTGTCTGCAACAGTTTAAAAAAAAAATGCTTATTATCATTATCTCGCTTTCCCGGAGGTCCCTCTTTCTGGTTCGTTAAGTCTTTTCATATTTCATTTTGATGTTACTCTAATGGCAAATTATGACTTTGTTCGTGTTTTTATTTTGTATTTTTGATCATTTTTGTTTTGTTTTGCTATGCTTACAGAAGACTTTTACAAATAATACATCCTTTTATATTCTGTACAGAACTTAAATTTCGTACATTGTCTTTTTTTTTATTTTTTTTTATTGTTTGTTACACACACAATTAGATGCATTTACAGTTGTTGACAGCAAGTACAGTCTATGTGCGTGTTTTTTTTATTATATATACACAACCACCCCTCCCACTACCACCCTCCCTTCCCAGTTCGTCTCCAGGTTGACAGTGTATCTCGTAGAGTTATAAATTTCGTACATTGTCTTGAAAAAAAAAGACTATTTACTAAACACCTTGAAGAAGAAGACACCGCGCTGAGGGGCAGGAGTAGGACTCAGGGCCACGGGAAGACCACTGTAGTCCTCTGAACACATCACTGTGGTGCAAACAAGCCACAAATGTTTTCTTCTGACACCAGTGTATCTATATATTATAATTATTATTTGTATTTTTTACGATTTTAATGGACGCCTTATATCTGTTCTTTTTTGCACAGATAAAATTCCTAGTTTGTGACGTCCTGTTGCTCAGAAGGGCAACACAAGAATTCTGTTCAGTTTGTTGCTGCTCTCTAAAAAGGCCTCGAATGAGTTATTTTTTGGTTTATTTTTTCAGAACAGAATCCACAGCTGATCCTGTGTCCTTCCGGTTTTTTGTACATGCAGTGCTCAATTCTTATATGAGTTGCCAAGGACAGCTTTACTTTAGCAACAAACATGCTTAAAATGTAAAGAGTTCACTGTTCACACATAGGCGCAAAATGTGTCTTTGCAAAACTGAAATGCTGTCTCAATTTCTATTCAGATGAGGCCATTTTATTGCTATATTACAGAAGACTTTTACAAATAATACATCCATTAATATTCTGTACAGTACTTACATTTCGTACATTGTCTTGAAAAAAAGAAATCTATTTACTAAGATTATTGAAAGAAAGTAAAATTATTGAAAGAAAGTCATTATAAATAGTTATAATAATAATACATTTTATTCTTAAGCGCCTTTCTAGATACTCAAGGGTGCCTTTCATCATAATTAAAAAGAACATTTCGTTTAATACAAGTTAAAACACAAGTTATAATTCAAGTTACCATACAGTTAAAGGCAGCATGAACAGATTGTGTGGTTATGACGTCAGGCTTGTCTAAACAGATGAGTTTTGAGGGTCGATTTGAAGTGTGTGAGTGAGCTGTTGTTACGGAGGTCAGGGGGGAGAGGGACGACCATGGGGATGACAAAAATATTAAATTGCCAAATGTTTCTGTGAAGGCTCTCTATCTGAATCTGCACAGCAACTGCCATTTCCATTGTGTCGAGTATTCGGAATCTGTCAAATTGCACGTTCGAAGCCGACAAAAAAAGCACTACTTCCACCATCGGAGCAGCTCTCCAATTTATCTGTATTATTTTGAATGTATGTAATGATGAAATGGCTTTGACGCTATAAAGAATATACTTACTAATCCTACTTCAAATCAATACAATTCACTTTTGAACAACCCAAAATCACAACAGCACTTTTCTCTGAGAATTTAACAAACTGTTGATTTAAAACTGCAGATTTGAAAAGTAAAAAAATTAAACGGTCAAATCCAATAATGAAAAGTCTTTGGTCCTTGAAGACAAACAAATTTACAAATGTTTTGCAAGATGTTTTCAAATCATGTCCCAATCTAGTTTTTTCCTGGTTCTAGTTTATTTCTGTCACGAGGTGAGAAGCAGGAAGGACCCAAAATGCAGGAAAAAATAATGATTTAATGATAATAAAATAAAAGTCCAGGTGAAAACAAACTCAAAATCCAAAGAAACACGGAACCAGGAACAGGACGGAACAGACATTGACAACACAATGAACCAGCAACAAGGGGAGAGAAGCACATGGTACATACAGTATACACACACAAACACATCAGGGCGGGGCAGACAATCAACAGGGGACCAGCACATTAAAACTGAAATGAAACCAGAGAACTAATATCAAAATAAAAACAAATACAGAAAAAAAATTCCACACCGTGACAATTTTCATTGAGACCAAGAAGGCCATGTCAGATTTTGCAAACATTTGAAATAGCTGAAAGATGATTGGTTCGTTTGTGTTGCAGGCCTGTGAGAAGGACTCTGAGTGCGGAGGAGGCACGTGCTGCGCAGTGAGCCTGTGGATCCGCAGCCTCCGCATGTGCACGTCCATGGGCCAGGAAGGGGACGAATGCCACCCCATGAGCCACAAAGTCAGACCAGCCACCAACATCTGATCTCTATGTTCATCTTCTTTTGTTTTTACTCATGCTGCTGTTTGTTTTTGGTTCTTGCAGGTCCCTTTCTTGGGTAAAAGACTCCACCACACATGCCCTTGTTTGCCCAACCTGGCATGCATCACCATAGGGGAAGGAAAATCCCTGTGTTTGTCGCCGCACAATTACCCAGACTACTACCTCTGACAAAAAGAGAAGCGTTTAAAGCAGCTGAAAACGTAAAACAATTTCGAAAGTTTTTCAATTTGGTGTGATCAGACTAAAATGAAAGTTATGTTCGGTAAAAAAAAAAAAAAAATGTTATCATGAAATACTTAATAAATGTTTTTCTTCAAAATGTGTGAAATTGAATCTGTTGAATTGCCGGCAGATGCGAGCGTTAGCAAGGTCGTTTCCTTGCGCCTGGGCGACCTTAAACAAATTGAAAACACCTTCCTTTTGGAGCGTACTGTTGCTAAATTCAGATGCATGCTTCACTTAATGAATCAGTTGGAAAGAAGTCCAGCGTCAGCCCACGATCGTCACATCAAAATGTTAAAATGAAGTGCATCAAAGGAATTATTAACTTGGTTTGATTGTGAGTCCGCTTTTATTAGCATTAACATTAACATTAGAACATTAGGAGCAGGTACAGTACAGTATGTAACCAGGTCAAGGTATTAGTCAAAAGGAGAAACATACAGATCCTTACCCCCCATAGTGTCCATTAATGTGAATTGTACTGTGATCCGTGAGCATCACCACTGTCTTTATTAGACCAGGTGCCTCCAACCTTTTTCACCCAGAGAGCTACTTTCCCAGGACGATAAAGGCAGAGAGCTTCTCCTTTGAGCAGCCCTGGGAAAAATGTGGTGATATGATGGTGTGAACGACTCTGATATCGGGTAGAGGCAGTATTTATCCTCACATATTTGTTAATAGTGACAAAGTAAGTGCATTTATGATGCCACAATGATAATGAATAACACAATCTGAAATATTTAGTACATTATTTTATTTGTTCATCTCTAAATGCTTTGCTGAGCTACCTGGAAGGGGGTGGTGAGCTACAGGTTGGAGACTCCAGCCTTCTCTGACAAATACTGTACGAGAGGCTTATGATATACTTTATTAAGCCCTTAAATTTTTAAAAATAATTTACCATTTGTCCTCAACATTAGACCTACCCTTGAGTGCAGCACCAGTGGCAGCACCTGAGGACCCATCCCCTCGTTTCCACCCCCTATGGACCAATGTGTTTGTTACTATTGTATTGTATTGTATAAGTCTCTGATCTTTTGTTGAAGTCCTCAGAAAAGAGATTGCGATTATGGGCTATACAAAAATGAGTTGAATTGAATCACAATTTTGGGTGATGGAGGAAACCAAAGCCCATAGAAACACATTAAGACACGTGCAGGCTCCACAAAATCAGAATCAGAATAATTTTTATTGACACAGACAAAGGAGATTGCTTTAGCTCTCAGTGCAATCAACTCAGAAGTAGAGAAGAATAAGGCAAAATAAGGCATTATAAAACATTTCTAAACATCTATAAAGTATAGCTTTTTCTAAGGAGTTAAAAGAGAAAGACCCAGGACTGCCCCGAGTTCGAACCCGTGACCTTCTTGCCACAGTGAGAGTACATGAGCCTATACAGTATTTCACAAACTCTTAAGACCACTCCCTCTTACCTGTCTTTCTCACGTTGGTGATTCTGAGATGGACATCCGCTGAAAGCATTATGATTGCCTTTTAATTTCAAGGGCAAACGGGTCCTTTGTCGCATTCATCTTCACAACATGAACAAACGTGGGACACTGAAGGCATCCATCACTGCCAGCCTGTGTGATCCAGGCTATTTTTTCAGAGCCCAGAGCAATAATGAGATGTGTCCAGTGAAATGGGAGACTTGTCATCAATCAGCTCCACTCACACACTCCAAGGCTGATGCACCAGTCAAGGAACAGATAATGGCCTAGATCTCTGTGTTGGAAAATACACATAATCAATAGTGCACTTACGGCAGCAGGGTGTATACCTTTAAGCACGCTGAGATTTCAATTAAGCAAGGGAAATGCAACATGGTCTCTAGAATTGGACAGAAAAGACCATTTCACGTCTAGAAAAATAACAGAAAGGCCAGGCAAATGTTTGGATACCTTGTAGATGTAATAGCATCCTTTTGGCAAGTCCCAAAAAGCCTGATAAAGCTTTTTGTAGACAGCCAAGAATCTCAAGTATGGAGATTCTTGCTCAGCCTTTCTTCCAGAAGTCTCCCAGTTGTGAGAATTTCCTGGGTTGCCTTACAGCTCTCTTGACGCTACACCATGGTTTATTCATTTTGTGAGCAGTGAAAATTTTGGACATCTATGTCATCAGATTGGGTGCGTTGGAGTTGAAACTAAACAATTATTCCCCTACATACAGTCTTACTTACAAAATAAAAATGTAGTGCAAAAATGTGTGAAGCTAAGATCGGACTGATGAAGGCCGAACGAAACATTGCATTTTCATTCCATTCCATTTTTGTACATGAGTTTTGTACCATGACTTATTGGAGAAACTTTAAAGATCACAGCTATAAAAAGATAACAAATATATGCAAATTGGCTTATTTGCAGTCCTGAGAGCCTCGGTAAACCAATGAACTGTGGTTGACCGACCACAGTACGTGCGGCTGCGCAGCTGTGAGTCTGAGGTGGTAGTCCCTAGGACTGGGACCCCTCAGGGCACTGTCCTCTCACCGTTTCTCTTCACCATCTACACTTCAGACTTCACACACGACACACACAGCTGTCACCTGCAGAAGTTCTCCGACGACTCTGCCCACATCGTGGGCTGTGTGTCCAGTTATCACAGACTTTGTCGACTGGTGTGAGCGCAACCACTTGTGCTTGAACACCAGTAAGACCAAGGAGATGGTCATCGATTTCAAGAGGAAACCACTTTCCCACACGCTGCTGAACATCCAGGGGGAGGACATTGAGCTGGTGGACAGCTTCAAGTACCTGGGTGTTCACATTAACAATAAACTCGACTGGTCCCATAATACAAACGCCCTGCACAAGAAGGGCCAAAGTCGCCTCTTCCTTCTGAGGAGGCTGAGGTCCTTTGGAGTGAGCAGGCCTCTGCTTAGGACCTTTTATGACTCTGTGGTAGCATCTGCCGTTTAATACGCTGCCGTGTGCTGGGCCCCGGGCAGGACAGAGCGGGACAGAAACAGACTGAACAAGCTGGTCAGGAGGGCCAGCTCCACTCTGGGCTGCTCCCTGGACTCTGTGGAGGAGGTGAGGGACAGGAGGGTGCTAGCAAAAGCCACCTCCATCATGGACAACACCTCCCACCCACTGCACAGGACTGTAGAGGAGCTGAGGAGCTCCTTCAGTGGAAGACTGAGACACCCTCAGTGTAGGAAGGAGCGCTACCGCAGGGCCTTTATCCCCACCGCTGTCAGACTGTACAATAAGTCACTTTAAGTCACTGTATAAGATTGAAAAAAAAAAAAAAAACCTGCACTACTATTGACACTATATCTGATTGGCACTTTAAATTGCCACTTTTATTGTACATATATCCTGCATGTAACATGTTTGCACATTTCCTCCTTTTGCACAATCTCAGTGTCCTATCCATGCCAAATGTGACATGTAAATTTCTCCTTGTGAGATAAATAAAGCATATCTTATCTTATCTTATCTTAGGCTAAGAATGTGGCTAATGTCAAACTAATCCTACATTAATTGGCCATAAGTCATTGCAACGACTCAGAAAAGTAATTCAATTCAATTCAATTTATTTTTGCACAGCCCTAATTCACAATAGCAGGATTCTCGAAGGGCTTTACAAAGTTGTTGATTTGCCAACATAAACATTCAGAACAAATAAACAATGAAGAAAACATTATTATTCAATAGTTTTGGTTTATTTCCTCATTAATACAAACATTTGAAAGCACCATTTTTACTCCCTTGGATCAGCCTTGCAACTTTGGAATCTTCTGGCCGTTTGGTATGATATTGGAGATAATTAAAATAAAGAAACATATTCAATATTGATGAAAAGAACAACTGTATACAATAATAATAGAGCGTGCACTCGGAGAGCACATACCCCGCCAAGGCCATGGGTCATCGCAGAAATGGAGTCTTTTACTGTCACATCCTGTCTACACACATTTCAGCTTAATCTGTCAATAAGTTCTTTCAAAACCTGCCTACAGACAAACAGACACACACACTGAGGCGATGACATTACCCCCTGGCTGGGTAATGATACTGAACAGAAAAGGACATTCTGTTGAGAGTGGAACAAACATTATGTGGGGCATATGTTTCCATAGTTGTGACAGATCGAGTTCTCGACACATTTGAAAACCTCTCGCTGTGGAAAAGATGGAGGGAGCCATCCATCTGATTGGTTGACATGCCAACAGTGGAAGAAGCAGAGAAATGACTTGTTTTCTCAAGAGATATATAACATCTTTCTGATCCACATCAGTCTCAATGTGTTTTGGATCCAATCAGATCAGCAAGAACTTAACAAGATTCTATCATTAACTCATACAAATCAAGATAATTCATTTTGTATATGGAAGCATTCAAGTAATTTAAATGCAGAAGTGTACACAAGTTTGAAATAGTAATGAATGTACAATTAGGCTTTAAATGTACAGGCTAGTCTAAACTTACTGTATGTTTAAACAATTGTTCCCTGTATGCCCAAACTATGCATCACATATTTCCATGTCCTCCATTTGAACTGTTAATGTGCATGCAAATAACCTTATCAAATAAGCCCTCAAATTCACAAGTTAAATTATGAAGTCATATCAAATAATACAAATGTACAGAATATAATATAATACATTGAAATTAATTCATCTCATAATCCTCACTCTGAAAACCTTGTCATAAAAGCTGTGCGCACTGGTATGGCTGTTTATTGGTGCTTAATATGTTCAGATATGTCAAACCTCTTCGTTCATATCACATTTGTATTTGCAATTGACAGTTTTGGAATTAGCCATCTTGTACCATTAATGGAGGTTTATCCAAATCAAATCAAATTTGACTACAGCAATTTGTATTTTGAAAGTAACATTTCTTTAACACAGTGTAAGAATGTTCCTGTAAACAGAATGAGAGGCATTCACAGCTTTAGATGGCATAATATGGCTCCATGGGAATGTGCGAGGCCAGGCAGCAGGGAAGGCAGGCTCTGAGGGCCCTCCTCAGCTCTCTGTTGAACATAAAACTTATAATGGGGTTGGCCCCAGCCTGAGCAAAGCTCATCCACACTGCTGCTGTGAGGTACACAGGTGGCACTGACGCACCCTTCACAAATATCCTCAGGAAACAAGCACTGATATAGGGCGCCCACATGAGCAAGAACGTCACAGTGATAATGTAATACATCCTTCCAATGCGCTTCTCCGTCTTGAACTCATCCAGTCCCAGCAACCTCCTGGTGGCCTGATGTGTGGCCTGTCTGATGCCCACCAGAGTGGGCGGTGTGGGGCCACGACCAAATCCTGCAATCCAGTTGGCTGCAGCCTGGCCTGTTGCTCCAGGGCCGTGAAAGGTCCAGTTCTGGCTGATAGCAGGGACCAGTTGTGCCGGCTTCATCTTTCTGTGATCATAGACAAAACAGAGTATCTTTACATAGACCACATGCGTGCTGCCCACAATGACGGCCAGCATCAACATAAACCCCAACGTATCATTGGCCTTCAGGTAGCGGTGCTCGAACGTACACTGCTCCTCCTCATGGATAAACTTGTACGTGCCCACGTCGAACACAGGGGGAAATGCCATGGCCACTGACAGAGTCCACACCATGCAAATGACCGCAACACACGTGCATAAGTTCATGCGCTTTGAGTAAAAGCGATGGTGCGCAATGGCCATATAACGTGTGACGCTGACGCAGAAAAGGAGGAAGGCGACGTGAAAACAGAACAGCACAGAGGCAAATGCCACTAGCTTACAGCTGAGCACTGTGTAGGGCCAGGAGCCGCCGCTACCGATGGAGGCCATGGTGAAAGGGAAGCACATGATGGTGCGCAGCACGTCAGACACACACAGGTCCAACAGGAAATAGTAGGGAGCCCGGTGCAGGGAGCAGTCTTTCAGCAGCAGTGCGCACAGAGCCATGTTTCCCAGGAGGCTCACAGTCGAGATCAGCCCCAGAGAGGCCAGCTTGACCGCGGGGACGGCAGATGCGTAGCTCTGGAAAGACGCGGTACTCTCAGCAAACTCGCTTGAATTGGCCATGGACGCAGCGTCTCAGACACATGGATCTATTATAATATAGGCTCAGACACTATTCCTAAATCAACAGTGGAGGCAGCTCTCTCAAACACACACACCACTCAACAGTAATCCCCTCATCTTCTGTCCACTGTGACTTCTTAGGAATCACATTCATGGCGCTTTTCTTCCGTTTCTTCGTATCCTTCATCTCAGCCGCTCTCAGACAGAACAGTCTGTCGTATCCTCTCGTGAACCTGTCGTATTCTCATCCATCCAGACGGCTCTATCCCGCTCAGAAAAACACATGTCCAAATCCTGCGCGATGTTCCTCTGTGGAGAATCCGAGAGCTCTGCGGTTTAGACAGGGATGCTCTGCGTTTCTATTGCGCCTGGACCTTATGGCGCCGCGGTGATGGAGCCCATAAAGACAAACATGTTTGTTCAGAGCGTGCGGAGGCGGCAGCAGCTCAAGTCGCAGATGCGACGCACGTCCGCACTCACACTGTGCAGGCCTGGGATCAGCAGACAGATGCGCCTCTCCTCACACTGGATCAGTGCCTCTAAGCCCCGTTTCCACCATCCCCACTCTACTCTACTCTATACTCTTCTCTGCTCTGCTTTACTCTACTCTACCCTATCGGCTCTATCTAGTAACGGAAACACAATCAGGTAGAGTAGAGTAGAGAAGGGGCAAGAGTATAGCAGTGAGGAGTAGAGTAGAGCTGAGTACAGTGGAGCACAGTGGAGTAGAGAGTAGAGTGAGTATAGGCAAATAGAGTAGAGTATGAGTGATAGACAAGTAGAGTAGAATCGAGTGGAGTAGAGTACAGAGTAGAGTAGAGTGAGTATAGGCAAATAGAGTAGAGTAGAGAAGAGTGCAGCATAGTATAGCATATAGTAGAGTAAAGTAGAGTAGCGTCGAGTATAGGGCTGGTGGAAACAGGGCTTTTTCTTCATAAAGGTACTTCAATGGAGTTGATACTGCACATATAGTAAACACGCTGCTTTTTCTCCTTTATTTGATCCACATAAACAAGTAAACAGTCTGAATAGAAAGTAGAACGATGAGCACAAATAAATGAACACCAAATGAATGTGGCCTTCTTACTCTCTGTAAGTGGATCAGCAGAACCAGGTGATAATCCTGCTCCTCCTGATCAGGGAAAGAGAATCTCCCCCATGTGACAGATTGAGGGCCAGTTCATACAGGGACACCTTCACTGGTCCAGGTCAATCAGGTTTACATGCGACAGTTGGAATAAATGCTTCTTAATGAGCTTATTAACAAGCTATTAACACCAGAACCCCCAGTGCAGTCAATTTGACGGATTTTAGTTTTGGAAGTGTAATTACTCTGTGTATGTACATTCTAACTTTGTGACTTTTTCTATTTCTATGGATTATTTCTATGCCATTTTTTTTTTAAATCAAATGATCCTTCATTTGTTTATTGTTTTTAATGTGCACATAATCTGCTTTTAACTCCCAGAGTATAGTCAATTTGACAGTATTGCATTAACATGTATCAACCAGTTTTAGCGCTTACAAATTACTTTTTGGGGGATTTCTCAGAAACGGGAGTCGGCAAAAACGTACTCTGAGTTTTAGTTGTTTCAGAATTCTGGGAGATTGTGCTAAAGATAAGACTGATTATTCACTTATTTAGAAATGATTGTGAAACACCTTGGTTATCCTCTGTGTGAGAGGTGCATAAAGGCTATACCCAGAATCAACAAACAATAATATCAACTGTTATTGGACTGAATAATATGACTAAAATTATCCAGTCGGAATGATCTTAAAACTAAAAACATGGTTATTGTGTCTGTGTGTAAGTAATGTAAAATACATTGCTCACCAGCGCCCTCCAGTGATAACAATGGGAACAGGAGTCATACAAGAAAATGTATTTAAATCGACCGAGTTGTAGAAACTGTAAATTCACATGTTTTAGATTTACTTACCTTTATTTTACAGATATAGCTTTTTCTGATTTTTTTTATTACAAGATTGTTTATTGGAATCGTTATTCTTATTATGATGTTTCTTATTCTTGTTACTCTCATAATTACGTCATTTTTGATAATAATCATTTATGATTATATGAGAGTGTCTGGAAATGAATAAGGCAGAACATTTTAATATGTCCCCCAAGTTTAAATACATTTCTTACATGTGTGTTTTAACAATGTGGGAAAGGCCATAGTAATGCCGTAGACTGGGGTGTACTGTGAGGCACAAGTGCATTAAGGCATCTACATAGTACACAGTGAAGCTGGGGTAACCAACTAACTTCATCACTTTCATACACACAGTGTTTCACAAAATAAGATAGACATAATCATGGAATTAAAGTCATAAACAAACACAATGCATTAAAATAGTGAAGACACAATCCTTCAGTTGTATGCACAGCTAAACAGAACTGCTAATCAGAAGCCTGTCTCACATTTTCAGGAAGACTGTTCCAGATTTGAGCTGCATGCTAAATCATTCACAACATTTGGCCTTAACTTTCTGTTGGAACAAACACAATTCATTAGAGAAAGCCTTAAAACTTCCGGATTTGAAGAAACACATCCCTACGTGACGCTTCCTGACTTCAAACCCGAACTGCGAGCAGAGTGATGCCTCCTGTTTCCCTCCACTCTGTGCACAGGACCCACCGTGAGCTTTCTGCCCAGTGACGCTCCGACGTCACTGCTCAGTAGGCGGAAAAGCGGCAGTGCTTTATCAGCCCAAAAAAAGAGCAAAACCCGGCTGATTTTTAACCGCGACTTTGAAGCACAAGTGATCTCAGAGAACAGACAGTCTTCGCTTCTTTGCTGGACCTGAGCAATGGCGCTTCCCCGGGGTCAGACCGAGCTGCACACGGACAGAGGCGGCCTGAGCTCGGAGACGGTCCCATCTCAGACCGACATAGACATCGACGAGAAAGAGTTAGATAACAAGATCACAAAGCAGCATCGGGAAGACGATACAGCCCTGCCTTTGCATTCGCCCTGGACGTTCTGGCTGGACAGGTGATACAGTTTATAATGCACACTTTGGTCTTATATATGTGGAAGAATACAGACTCGCTATAGAAAGTCTCTGATGGCAGGCCTGATGGTCACTCAGGCCTGCAGAAGCAAAGCAAATACAGAGTTTGCTTTCATCCACTTTCATCCACATAACGCGTACGTCGTCTTTACCGCTGTCGTGATGTAATAAAGGGTCATTGCACCCTCTCAACACATGTTTGGTTTTTATTGGTTAGCCTGACTGAAGCTGTTCAAACAGAGGACGGAGACAAGGAGCAAAGCCACAGCACAACAGAGGTGGCCTTTATACACAATAGAACCAGATTAAAGTCACAGAAGCGCTTTGCATTTACAGGGCATAGATCGTTATTATTATAGATCCATTGCATAGATACACTGTGATTCGGTAGCTGCAGGCGAATCTAAAGAGCGGATAGTTACGTTGTTATTACTGCGCAACAGTGTCATTGAGAAGAAATGATAAAAAATAATGCATCGGTTTTATATTTCACTTTTTGTACACTCAAAGATGCTTCACACGTCATTGCTCATTCTCTGTTTGGGAAAATATTATTGTAGCCACAGCTGCCCTGTGGCACACTGGCAGAAGTGAGGAAACAAGTACGTGCCTACGGCCCCTCTGAACAAAACTTTCCCTAAGGACACAATGACAGTTTGGCACTTTACAGCCACATCCCCCCCACTGTGATAGCTGTTGTTCCCAGACTTCCCGGTCTTCCATCACCGTACTAACCAGGCCCTGCCCTGCTTAGTACGATTCGTTTCCTGAAATAATTAAACACATGATGATACAAGAATATGTGATGCTTACATTTTTATTATGAATAGCAATAAACAGATTCTAGATTTTAGAAATAGCATTTGTAATGACACCCAAAGAAACTTACCTCACCATTAATCACTCCATACACAGTGGTGGTAAACTTCTACTGTAGCCACAGCTGCCCTGGGAAGGATTGCAACGAATCTTTGCAATTAGCACCTCTGACCACCACCAATTCACACACACACACACAAGGCAATGTGGGTGAAGTGTCTTGCCTTATGACACAGCAACAGTCTGGCACTTTATAGTCACTTCTAACCCTGTTTTTAATGTATACTGGGCCTCTATCCCTATGCTGCTATATTCTGGGGCCTCTAACCATATCTTGCTATCAACTGGGGCCTACTTAACTTAATAATAAATAAATAAATGAAAAGACAAATATGTAAGAAACATTTAGGGAAAAGTTTGTGGGATGCCAGGTCCAGGAAACAGGAATTCTAAATATATTAGAAATTTACTGGAGTTTTCACAAATGCATTTTTCTGAATACTTTAACCTTTTGCACATAATTCAGGCAAACATAAAGTATACTATTCATGTGTTTTTCAAGTTATAACAAGTGCTCTTAAACAAAATCTGTTTTTTTATGTATACATCCCAATCTGTGAGTTGTACTCTTGTAGTAAAATGTTTGTTTGTGTTGCAGGTCATTACCAGGTACAACAGCAGCAGAATGTGAGTCTAATCTGAAGAAGATCTATACAGTGCAGAGTGTTCAGGTGAGAGCATGAGGAGCACATGACTTTGCTTAGAGCGGTTTCGACCACAGAGAGTTTGACATCAGCATGAATCAGCACAATGAAGCTTCTCTCTTGAAGACGAATGAGAGATTGCTTTGGGGTAATCCTCTCTGCAGGAGCTGTGCAGTCCTGTCAGACATGGTTGGACCCTCTTTTATGCCCAGAAAAGTATTTCCCAGACTAACCAGGCACTTCTACTTTCTGGTACATGTGATCAGATGTTGTCAAGTCTAACAAGACCAGTAACATTTGTTCCTAAATAGAAAATCTTACAACCAATCACATATCATGGATCAATGAAAGTTTCCCCTTCCTTCTCATTTCTATTGACCTTTGTGGCATACGATTGACTAAAGTGTCATAAAAACATGTTAACCCTTTCATGGTTTCCTCAACCATTTGGTAGATCACCTTATGAGTCACTATATCTATATCTACTTCAAGCTTGGAACTGAAATCTACCTCTTTGGGGCATCTCACTGTGTTTTAGGTACTTTTACCATCAAACTGCATCTCAACCATTTGGTATAAGCCAATAATAAAAGGGTTAATAAAAAAATTGAAATCAAATTATTGGCAATTATTTAGATGCAGCCACTCTAGCACTGAAATCCAAGATGGCAGCCACAGCAAATTGAGATTCAGATTATTGGAGTGAAATAACACTGTGAGAAACAATTGAGCACTTGTGCACGCAAATGTTTTTTTATACACACAACTTTTTTTTTAGTAATTAACATTTATCAACATTAAAAGTAGGGATGAAATAAGTGAATCACAGGTTGAGGGTTCAATCCCGTGCCAGCTTTGTCCTTTCTGTTTGGAGTTTGCATGTTTCTCTATGTGTCTGGGCAGGTTTCCTCCAGGCGCTGCTATTTCCCCCACCTCCCAAACATGCTGAATTCTGCAAATAAGATTTCTGATATTAGAATAACATAAAACAGGAGTGAAAATCTTATTTGTAAATAACTTAGCTCAGTTCAAGTGACACTATCTTAGCTTTGACTGCATCAGAAACATTCACTACAGGCCTTTCACAATTTTAGCAAACCAATTTATTCAGTAAATAGTCACCATTTTAATCTAATGGCAAAACTGTGCTCTTTTTAGCAGCTGCAGAAAAGGCATGTCATTACTTGCCACAGTAATGCAAGATTTCACTCAGCTCAGGGGTCTTGGGTAAAAGGGAATACCTCCTTATGTAGCACAACATACTGTTTTTGTCATACAGAGAGCATCAAGTGGACAAGTGAAATAAATGTACTTCTTTACTTGCCATTAATCCAAATCAATTCAATTTATTCTTGTATAGCCCTAAATCACAACAGTAGCTATCTCTGAGGACTTAACAAAACTGTTGAATTTGCCAACACAGATTAGAGAATCAAACGGTTCAAACCCAAGAAATGCAATGATATAAAAACACATAAGTCCATAAGGGGCAGATAACCAATGTCCATAAATGTGTTAAAAAAGTCAAGAAGCTTCGACACACACCTGTTTATCCGTTATACATAATCGTTGTCATGTGAATTCCAACGGTTTTGTCAGTGTGAATGTCTACAGCCTTTGTTTTCCTTTGTAATTTCTGCAGACGTTCTGGAGTGTGTACAACAACATCCCGCCAGTGTCAGCGTTGCCTTTAAGATGTAGCTACCACTTAATGAGAGGAGAACGCCGGCCGCTCTGGTAAGTTTTTAATAATTCTGTCTTGGGATAAAAACCCTTCACTGTAAATAAAATGTCTGTTTTTCAGGGAGGAAGAAAGCAACGCAAAAGGAGGCGTGTGGAAGATGAAAGTACCTAAAGAAAGCACTGTAGGTGTTTAGGATCTTGTCAAACATTAAGCCATGTCATGAAGGTAAATGTGTATGTGGCTAAACAAGCAGAGGTACTAAAGAAAGAGTCATTGTTCTGTGTTCTGTTCCAGTTGACTGTATGGAAAGAGTTGTTGCTAGCGACGATCGGGGAACAGTTTGCAGATTACTGTGCCTCAGGTGAGCTCTCGTGTTCGTTTATACCTCTATACCTAGGTACGGTTGCAAATTAAGTTCAACAGTAGGACTCCTGGAATTCTGAAACTGCTAGAACTCCCAGAGCTGTCATTTTGACTGCTCCCATTTGAACCAAAGGAATACATTTTTTTCACTAGATTTATTAAAAGTACTGTAAGTAATTTATAAGGGTGAGAAAGGGTTACTCAATTTTACTAAGTGCTAAAACTGTTTAAAACAGTAGTTGAAAGGCGACCAAAGATATCTACTGCCACGGTAAACAATGTGCTGCCATGGTAACTAGCATTTGCTCTTCTCTGATGGAGAAGAACCAGTCAAGGAGCAGCCCCTTCAAATGAGCTTTAGCTGCCATAGAAAGAGAGCAATCAAAAAGGCTACATTTTCATTTTACATTCAGACAAATTGAGTTAAAGGTAGAAATCACATTTCAAAATGAAAAGATAATCTAGAAAAATATATTTGCATAGAACTAAACCACAAAAGTTATTAAGAATGTACATACGCTGAGTATTTACTCTCCCAAAACTAAAATCTGTCAAATTGACTGCTCTTGGTTACGTTAAATAATGCCCCTCACATCTGTTTCTCACATGTAACTACTTAAAAAGTGAAAAACTATATTTAGTTAGTTTCAAAGTCTCATCTTTTCAGAATGAAAGCTGTCTTAGAACCAAACACATTCTATAGATATCTATTTTAGGGTCGCACAGTGGTGCAGTGGTTAGCACTTGTTTCACAGCAAGAAGATTCTGGGTTAGATTCCACCTTCTGATTGGGCCTTTTCGCTATGGAGGTTGCATGTTCTCCCCATGTCTGCATAGGTTTCTCCTCCAGGGAAACATGTACTAAAAACAAAAGCCTCCTGTGTGGCCACTCCCATTCCTGTGTGTGGAGTGAGAGGACAAAGGACTCAGTCTGTGAAAGGCGCTAAACAAATATATTAGCTAATTACTTGTTAATTGGATTCGAATTATAGTTCATATCCTGCATTCGTATGTGATTATAACTAATAATAATCATTTGCCTCGTCTCAAAGGCAGTTTGTTTTTTAATCATCTATCATTATGTTTTCGTTGGGGTCAACAGAAATATGTGAACATCTGTGTGTTGTGTCTTTCTAGAGGACGAGGTTGTCGGCGTTAGTGTCAGCGTTCGGGATCGTGAAGATGTTGTACAAGTTTGGAACAAGGATGCTACTCTCGCTAACGAAGCTAAAGTCCTGGGGAAAGTCTTTGAACTTCTGCCATTCATCTCTTTTAAAGCTGTATTTTATAAGTGTAAGTAAATCTCCCGTGGTCACTATAAAAGTGTTGATGCTGTGTTCACAGTAACGTGTCAAGTATCTGGACTTTAAACGGTTATAACTCAAAAACTAACTTTACTATCGTAGATTGGAAAAAACATATCGAAGAGATAGTGTGGATAGAATCAAAAGGAAAGATTGCCAAATACTTTTTTGGTGAAATTTTAAACAACCAGATCAGCCTCTGATTTGACCATTCTACTGTGACGCCAGTGACATAAAATAACTGTCCTCAGTCTGAAAAAGCGGCAGATGAACTCCCACAAGACTAACATGGCGAACACAACAAAAGTATATCACTTGATTTAAAAAGGATTCTGTTAAAACAAAAACAAAAACAATAAAAATGTAAATGACCCTTGAATGTGTAACGTATGTGATGGTCTCTGACAATTTCTTTCTAAAAATTTAACTTGAGATAAAATGAGTCTGGTTTAAAATTTAGTTGGTTTACTACTGTATATGAAAGTAATCACTTTGTTTCTACTCTGTGTAAAAAAAAGAATCTATTAATCAAATGTGAACATATAACATTCCGTCAAAGCATCACGTCCGTTACATAAAATAAACAGCAACTTCTAATGGACGGAGGAGGTTTCTGGATACATGAAAAACATAATCTTCTGATAATTAAAATCAAATTTTTGGCCTTTTGTCACACTTTTGTACCCTTTAGTGTGAACAAGCCCAAATACAGGTGTTGTAATGAGATCCACTCATTTGATTGTGTTTTGTGTTTCCAGCTCACATGGAACATCACGCCTTTGAGGGAGGACGCTCAAGACACTAAACCTGCACTTTGACTTTATTTGAATCCTGGACTTTTCCTGCCTTTGACATAAAGACACTGTCAACGATATAGGGTATAATTTTACATTATTCCGGAAAATGTAAACTATATTTTTATAACTTTTAATTACTGATGCCTTGCTTCATGAAGGATCATTAGATAAACAAAAGTCCTGTTTATGTTACTCATGCTTGACATCCTTCTAACTCGGACATTCCCGTCCTGTTCTTAGCTCCGATGGATCTGTTAATTTCCCATCTCAAGCTAACAGCTATGTAACCGAGGCAACTTTGCTGTGATAGATGTTGCAGTGCAGTCATAGTTTGTTGCTCTGTGCCAAAGCACTTTTGTTTTCTGCAGTGTTCCCCTGGGAGAGTAGTTTTGCATCTCTTCTGCTATGAATGTCTGTGATGTACATGTTCTCAATCTGTCAACTGTCAACAAATCAGGGTAATATATTTGCACATAGTTGTATTCTGGTCGTTAATGGAAAGCCATATCCCAGCACAGACCCTACTCTACGGACATTTACACTTCAGAGCTTTACTGCATATACATAATTTTAAATGTGCCTCATCTTTTGGCCTGGCTACAAATATGATCATTCATATTTGAACTTAATCAAAATATTATCCCCCCCGACATATGACTTCTACTTCTTGCGTTAAAACATCTTTGTATTTGTAACCAGGCCAGTCAGTTAGCCAGCATTCATACATGGGATACTTAACCTGGCTCCAGCTGACATTTAGCCCCGCCTACTTATAATTATTCTCGCTGAAATTGTATATAGACGGGGCTAAAAGTCGCCTGGAGCCAGGCTATTGGATACTGTATGTGGACTTCAAATTGGCTCACACAGATCTGTAAGACAATGTACTGAGAAATATTCAAATCATACAGTTAAAGTTATGACGTTGAATCGACTGAATGTATAAGAGATCAAAGTCCTGTAACAACTACATATAGATATTAATCAATGGTAATTATAGTCTAAAACCAGAGTGTGGCATGATCTAATGATAACAGGCTTGTCGTGATGCTCAGTGGATAAAATCTACGTAACAGTGGTTGAAAGTAGATTAAATGGGCGGCCTGTAATCCTTTAAAAGTTCACTATGGCCTTGTTCTAAGGGGAGCGCAATTTTGGAGCAACTCAGAAGTTGGATGAACGTTTTCTGTATTCTTTAGAGTTTATATTTATGCGTATTTGACTGAAGTAGATTCGCTCGCAGATGTGCTTTATGAATGTAGTCAGTGGTGGCACTATTGCTCGCAGGTTAAACATCAGACAATGACATTCACTTTAGTTGTGGGTTGATACTCAACCAATGACCGTGCGATCGGCAGCAGATTGACAAACAAGAAGCATGTACCAGGTCTTCTCCATAAACCTCTGCTCATGATCTGCATATGGGTCACCGTGGACTGCTCTGTCGGATGAGTCTGATGCTGATCCTTCCCACTAGAACTCCCAGAGAGGTCCATACAACTGCTTTTAGTTTTGTAAGTGCAATTCCTCGGCAACCTTTATGCTCTCTCTAACTTTTTGAGGTCCTGGACTGGTTCTGAGCTTAGTTTTCCACAACAGAAGGAGCCATAGTTACCATAGCAACATACTGTATGCTTGATAAATATTCACTTTAATTATTTGAGAAAAGTAAAGATTTTTTGGGGGGATTTCTCAGGATTACATTGGTTTGAAAGAGAGCAGTCAAAAGGACAGCTCTGGGAGTTCTAGTACTTTCATAATTTTGGGGGTCGTAGTGTTGCCGTGAGAGAATGAAAAACTATTCTTCACCTTAAGGAGTGGTATCTGGCGACTCACTGAAAAGTCCAGGAGATGTGTCTGTTTAGTAAAGAGCAAATATTAAGCATTTATGAATGACCTGCTACTTCAAACAATGCCATGTACTGAACCACAAGTGATGTTACTTTCTTTTTACCAATAAAAATCACAACTGGTTTTTGAACTTTTGTTTTCACTTTGACTTTGTGTCTTCAGATAACGTGAACATTTTCAAATCACATAATTATCAATGTCTAATAACAATTGTTACTTTGATGTAATCCTATTCACAATGTTTAGGATTCAAATGTTTAATGCAGTTTGTTTTAGTATTACCCCGTACCTGCAGACGACCAGTAATACGGTATGTGGTTGAAACTTGGCAGCTTCTGAGTATAGCAGCACAGCATATCCAGAAGAAACTGGACGTTCAGATAAGTAAAGGGACACTTACCACCTCTTTTAGGTTTTAATTTTTTTGAATACAATTATGTGTATTGGCTCAATATTGATAGATGTAAAATAATTCCAAATACATAACCAAAAAACAAATTCTGAGGGAAATTAATTAATGTCAAGTCAAGTTTTTGCTGTCAGAAAATCAGTAATCTGGCAGTTCTTTCATGTTTCAATTGTGTGTAATAGGCCTAAATTTATATATTACGTTACACAAAGAGTTGTTGCTCGTCCTTCATAAAATAATACATACATGTATTACATCACAAAAGTAAACCCTACTTTGCACGCATGATTTTTGTAGTTCCAGATATCGCCAGGAGGGGTCGCTGTCTACCAACAAACATAGCAGAGTTAAACCTGGGTCACGTCACTCTCGCTCTCCCGTGATGAGCTGTAAGTCATTTATAACTAATGTGTTGTGCATTAGACCTTGATCAAGGACACAGAGAGGGACTCCAAATATTTTCTCTTGAGGTTAAATTAATGTTGCTTTACAATGAGCATTTTCTGGACTGTTGAGTCTGAGCCCCTGATCGCTCAAATCTATATTTTAATTACACTCATAATATTATTGTACTGCCTAGTCCTAATGAAGAGCACTCTTTGCAAGATACTGGGATCATCACTTGTTGTTGCGAACCTCAAGCCTTTTTTTTTTAAAGCAGTTGATAATTCTCAAAAAAAGATACCTGTAGGATGATGTAGGCTTTTTGTATAGTTTTTGTTTTACTACATTTTCAATTCTACATATACATTATGTAACACAACAATCAATGAAGGTACTCTGAGTGCACGGCTGTAGTGGAATTGCATCCTTCTATTTAAAAAAGACTATCTGACGGGAACGTTGTGCACTTATAATAAGACAATAAGATTTAGATTTATTTTTATAATGTGTTTCTGTGTTTAACTAAAGATGGAGATTGTATTTTATTTGTTTGCAGTATATAGCCGTGCTATACTTAATATGCAATGCTAAATGTCTATAGTGTGTATTAGAATATAATTAGGGATTTTTCGTTCAAGAAAAAACTGAAGAAAAAAAACCAAACAAAAAACAACCTATTTGCACAATATGCCAAAGCAAATTCCGGTTCTGTAACTTGTGATGCAACACTGACATTTCCCCACTATGGGATTTGTTTATCTTTATTCCTATGCTTGTGCTTTTATATTAGATTATGCATAAACTTTGATAAGCCAAGTTCTGGATGTATATTCAATTTCTAGTTATATGTTGCAATATATGCAGCATAGTATATGTGCCCAACAATTAAATATTTGTTTCTAAGAAGTTTGTCACTTTACCTTTCTGTTTTGACTTTCAAATGCAATCTGTTGGTTTGTTTGTTTGTTTATTGTTTATTTGCTTGTTGTTCATAGCGTTCATTGTGATTTATAATAAGCAACAACATGTGATAAATGTTATACATTTTTCTTTCACGGTAAATCCTTCTTTAAACTTAATGAGTAAAAACGATACACTAAAAGCCTACAGAATTAAACCCCAGCTAATCATTGCATTACGAAGCTTTCTCTGTTTGAGGGGAAAGAATATTTTGCGAGATAGAGAAACAGATCAGACACAAAACTGTGCAAAATGAGTTAATTGTGGCACTGAAGTAATTAGAAGGCTTAGACATTTTAGCTTTTCGACAGCCCCCTCTCTCCTGTCACACTTGGAGCTAAAACTAATGCATATCATTACATTTCCCCGTGTAGAAAGTGAACCACCCGCTTGGTCTTTTCAACAAACGAATCTGAGCCCGTATACTTGAGCATTATTCTTTAAAAAAAATCCCACAAACAGCGACTGGCAGGTGGATATGACGTCACGCCGGACAGATCAAAACAAAAACATATAAACATCCGCGCCGCTTCCATCGTTCTGATATTTTTGTTTTTGTTTTTTGGTACACCTCCTTTCTTCTTCCCCGTGCGCTAGACAAAAAAAACAAAAAAACAAAAAACATAAAAAACTAATAATAAGGAAGAAGACGGCGGCGTGTGTGAGTGTGTGTGAAGATCTGACCGGGACGTTGCGATTTCAGCAGCGTGGACTCTGCGTTTTGGACTGGTAAGCTTTATTAGTGGCAGCCACACGTCTCGTAGCGAAGTAGAAAAGTGAAGTTACTCCTCCTCGTAGGGTAAGGTTGTACAGTGTATGCATAAGGAGCGCTCTCACATCCTCCCTGCATGCGTGTCTGGCTCTAAAGAAGTCGGGTAAGTTTCATACCGCGGTCATCTCTCGTCTCTTTAGTCCGGAGACGAGATGGATCACAACACCTCGCTCGCGCACGATGTGTTTTTTTCTATCTCCCGTTAATATTATGATTATTATTTATTGCCGTGCTGCTACAAAAGTCTAAATGCCTTGTAAAAAACAGAAAAAAACACCTGATGTCTGTCTTGTACGCGCGTCGCCATGCTGCCATTTCTGCCTGCTATACGCGCGTTGTTTGCAGCCTCAGGGGAAAGTTTTTGAAAAAGTTGTGTGTATTTGGATTGAAGTGAACTCAGAAATTGTAGTTGTACACGACAGTGAAAGTGGCACGTGCGTGTGTGTGAGTAAGTGTGTGTTTTTGTGGTGGAAAGTGGAAGCTTGAATGCAGTGATTTCTTTGCAAGAGTTGAGATGGTCCCCACGTGTTAGATTCACCCCTTTTTGCAAATGTGCTCTGAACTACTTGAAACACTTACAAACACATATGGATCTATTATAACACACACACATATATAAACATGTCAACCTG